CACACACACACACACACACACACACACACACACACACACACACACACACACACACAGCAGTTTCTAGGCAGTTTGGGAAATGCAGATAGTACATTTCAGAACTCAAAACAAGTAGCTGGTTCCCAGGTGGGTTTCACACTTACCTATGCCATCAGGAAGAACATCCAGTAAATTCTGAGAAATGACTAAATCTGTTATGGAAGCTAGGCCGCTGATCTCGTCAGGAAGTCTTTCCAGCTTATTTTCCGAGACATCCAAGCAGAGCAGGTTTTTCAAGTTTCCTATTTCCTACATTAATGACACAGAAAAAGAAAATCTTGTTCAAACATGCAAGGATTGTTTGCACTGGAATGTACTAAAACAACCTCATGCCATTAAATTCCCAAAGGAAGAGTTAGGACAACATGTTTCCTAAATTTTGAAAATCACTTAAATCTAACAACTGAATTGAAGCCAGGCGCTTTTTCATGAAAAACAGACTAAAACTGTAGAATTGTCACTCTCAAAGGTATGATAATCCTCTGGAAAACAATTAGGATCCTAGGATTTCGTACTAGAAGGTCCCTTAAAGATTATCTAGGCCAACCCCTAGAATTTTCTCAGAATTTTCCCAATAACTACATTTTCCATCAGCGGCACTGCTTGGTTTCAACTCCACAGAACATCACGCTCCCGGACACATGGCCCGCCCACAACATCTCCCTTCCTGGTACATGACCTGTCCCCTTTCCTACTTCCTTTTCTGCAATGTCTACCCCCATTAGATTATAGGCTCTTTGAGGGCATAGACTATCTTTTTCTTTTCTTATTTGCATCCTCACTGCTCGGCACAGTACCCAGCACATAGGTGCTTAATAAATGTTTATTGAATTGATTTGAATTTTTAACAATAAATACATAATCCTATTACTCTATGTTATAAACTGAATTTTGTCTCTCCCATTAAACTGTGAGCCCCTTGTGAGCAGGGACTGTTTTTTTGCTTTTCTGTGTATTCCTAACATTTAGCATAGCAGCTAGAACATAGCAGACACTTAACAATTGTTTGTTGATTTTTTTTCCTAAAAAATTAGTAAATTCTATTTATCAATTTCTTTCCTTATCATATGTCTATTTTTAAATTAAGATTACAAGAATTCAAATTTACTGAACCTTTCTGGTGGTGTAGATTTTGAAGAAATAGTATTTTACTGTACAAAGATAATTTTAAATATAAATGTGGCTTGTTATAAATAAACCAGATGATTGAAAAGATCATAGACTAAATTTTCATCCTAAGGAGTGCATATTTACATGTGTACATATATAAATATATATATTTTTAGGCTTCCCCGCCCTTCAGCTGGTGTTCCGTAATTCTCAAGATATGCCCTTCTCCCTCCCCTCTTTCTCCTCTGTCCCCCAAAATAACTACCACTCCCACTTTTATCCACCCTGAAACTCCCCAGTTAACTTTCCACCCAACTCCAAATCCAAACTAAATGTTCAACCCATATCAGCTAATGATTACCTTTCATTTCACTATTTTAGGAATTTTTGATCACACCAACTCAGAAACTCAGCATAGGCTCATTAACCCAGAAAAGGGACATAAAAAATTGTGCTATGGTTACCATTAAGGGAGACAGGTGACATTTAGGCTAGAGTTTACTCCTATGGATTCTTCTAATTTATAAAGGATGATGGAAAAACAAAACCATATATGCACTCATAACACTACCCAAGGGGCTTTGTCTTTGTAAGCTAAAGGTGAGAGAGACAGAGAGAAGTTTTCCTTGCACATAGTAGATATTTTATAAATGTTCAAAGACAAATAAATGCTACTCCCAAACACATGATAAAAAATATTCATTACAGTTGAATTAATACAATTAAACAAATCAGTCTATACAGTCAGTTTTACTATAATGCTTTTTTTGAGAATGCAGATTTTTTCCAATGCAACTGATATATTACGGAACATTTTGTGTACAACTTGAATTTTGAGTTTGCTTATATGCAATTTCTTCCTCGAGGAACATTGGGAGAACACAGAAAACACCATTTCACAATAACCCACAAGTTGTGACTCTTCAGAAGCCTACTTTCAATAAGCAAACTTCAGGTCTTTTTCAAGGTAAAGTGCGTATTTATGGTATGTCTTCTGATGAAGTAGGAACTGTGGGTGGAGGAGGCCTGATATGTCCTACCTAGTCCCCCACATTCCACCATGGATCAGGTCTCCAACCTTGGAGCTACAGCCCATTGAGGCTCCACCCTTCAGCCTGGACCAGTGGGAACTGGGGCACAGGTTGAGTAGCAGCTGAGGCAGAGGATGCTGCTATTATGTACAGCACTATTTATGTATTTGTTAACCATTTAACGTGTATAAAATCGTGCTACAATTTTTAGTAGGTTTCTATCTCTTTCTTTACGTGTCGCTCATGAAGTTTTTGAGCATTGTGCCTCTACTTTCATTTTTCCCATAAGCTCTGTGGTTTTTATTACTCAATTGTGCACAGCTCAGTTCCTTGGGAGAATGCATGTGTCAAATTATAGCAGACCTGACTGTATCTTAAAATATTTCAAAAAGAATCACCTACATATAATTATTAAACTAAAGACTGATTTTAGTATGCAGTAAAAAAACCAAACTTAGAGATGGAGAAAGAAAGGGAAATAAAAGGACATTAGGAGCAGAAATCAACCCTGGAGTAGTATGAGCAAAAATTGTGGCAAACTCAAAAAAAGAGAGCTTTTTAAAAAGCTGCTGTCTCTGGTCACCAGATGGAAGAGTCAGCTTATTATGGCTGCATAAAATAGCTATTATACTTCGAGATCTGTATGAGACCCAACTGTATTTGGAACATGGCTTTTATATTTAGTAATAACCAGAGAAAAACACCTACCACATGCCAACAAAACAACTTGTAATACTTAAGAGAGACATATAAGTACAGCTTTTTATACTGCTTTTACATGACTATCACAGGAATCTTAAGAGCAGTAAGTAGTTTAAATTACTCCAAAGCATTTGGCACCCTATAAAGTGCTACAGAAATATACGCCAATTATAAAACAGATCTCAGAATTTACCCAGACATTTGTTGACTCCAAACTAGGTGAGGTAGATATAGATAACAGGGTTCCCAAACATCAAGGTACTCTATCAAGTCAACAAGCAAGCATTTATTAAGCACCTACTATGTACTAGGTGCTATGTTAAGCTCTGCCCCTTCCCATTAACCAACCCCATCCCCATCCAAAAAAAAAAAAAAACAGCCCCTGCTTTCTAAGACTTCACGGTCTATTGGAAGAAATGATTGAGCATTTTAATTTCATCCTATAAAAAGCAAAATAAACAGTGTCTGAAAAAAATCTTCCTTCAAATGTGATTTTCCATTACTCCTCCTCAGTTTGGCAAGTGTCTTTTTTACTTATAAAGCAGAAGTGAGTTTGCTTTGTGTTTTATGTCGTTTTAAAGTTATTATCTACCTGAGGCAACTCAGCCAGCTGATTTCCATCCAACCAGAGATCCTCAAGGTGTAGGAGTGCTCCAATTGTTTCTGGCTAAAAGCAGGCAAAATAAAGTTATGGTCAAGAGAAGAAAAAATAGACCAAAGCTCTCAGTCATGAACTAAGTAAAACAGAAGTCTACATTTGTCATCAATTCTATCTAGTATCATAAAATACAATCAGTGTATCTTTAGTAAGAAAAAGTCAAATGGCAATGAGTAATCTACCCAAAGATAAAATGGAAGGAGATGTGGTTCATAATTAGATTTGCTCTGAAATAGTGACTTCTCCGGATTTGGTTGAAAAACATTGAGATTCCACCACTAAGAAGTTCTCGTTAGCATCCAATGGTCATTCTACTTCACGCTCAATCATCAGTACTCCTCTGCCTTCACAAAGCTTCAAGGTCTCCATTTGCCATTTCCTTCTCTTTTCTACTTTAAAATGCCAGTTCCCATTCCCATCCACTGGGATCAACCCTTATTCCAACTCCTTCACCCAGCTAAGCATTAACCTTGGCTTGTTAATAGCATCTTTTATCTCTTATTCATAAGCCCTAGATGAATTGTGGCAAATTCCTCAGTGGTCCCAGCTCACCCATGAAAGTTAAAAGAGCTGTTTGTCCATGAATGAAGTGTGACATTTAACAAGGATGAGTATTTTCAGTTTCCATCTTCTTTCCACAAAGGCTTACCAAATTGTAGATTTCATTGTTTCCTAAGTCAAGCTCCTTTAGTCTCTGTAGCTGGGTGAGAGATCTGTGAGGGAAATAAAGCCAAAAGGAGAAGCAATATCAATTGGGGTAGAGATCAAGAACAAAAGCACTTTCCATGCTTACACAGTTCTGAAAAATACGCTTTAGCATATATTATTAGTTACAAACTATCAAAAACAGAATTGGAAAGTGAAGACTACTGTCCCCCAGTTTATTTGCCAAATATACACAACCTTTTAGGACAAGGCACTGCTTTCCACAAAAGTCATTTAGCATGAGATGGCATTTAAGATGGGGGCATCTGCCAGAAACCAAAATGCTCCAATGTTACCATAGAGAGGCAGTTTAATAAATCAACATCTATCAGCTTATTACAATTCATTAGGCAAGGGCAAGGAAGGGGCGAATATGAAATCATTTTTTAAAATGCATCCCATCTGGCAATGGGTTATCTTCACATGGAAAAAAATTCTCTCCATTTAATATTCCCTCCCAGGTCCCCTGGAAACTCACTCAGGCAAATACGTAAGTAGATTCTCTCTTAGTTCCAATGAAGCCAGGTTATAAAGGCTGGAAATTAAGCATGGAAAAGAATAAGCAAAATTTTTGAAATCCCATTTCCCCCCACCTGAATCTGAAGGTCTTAATGAAACAACATAAGGTGGTACAGTGGATACAGTGCCAAGTCTGGAGTCAGGAAGACTCATTTTACTGAGTTCAAATCTGGCCTCAGACACTTGCAAGCTGTGTGACCCTGGACAAGTCATTTACCTCTGCTTGCCTCAGTTCCTCATCTGTAAAATGAGTCAGAGAAGGAAATGGCAAACCACTCCAGAATCTTTGTCAAGAAAACCCCAAATGATGTCACAACCCCAAATGATGACACAATTGAAACAACTGAACAACAACAACTGTGATAGCCTGGGGGAGGGAGCGGGGGAGATAACATCTCTTCAATAATCATTAAGGAATAAAAATATCTATTCCATACATCATAACGTTAAAACATTAGTCACTTTTTTGGAAATACGCAAGGCATAGATCCTTAAGAAATTAGTACCAGAGCATATGATTTTATTTATTTATGATTCCAAGACATCCCCAGAACAAACATCTCATGCTTCTAACATGAGAATACTCCCACCAATACAACCACCCCCGGGACAGAGATAGAAACACAACATGTGTTTCTGCTGGCTTGTTTTTTTTTTTTTTTTAAACATGCCAATGATGTGTCGTGACTATAAAAAAATAATAATGCTTTTAATCTCACAGGGCTCAAGGCAATTCATATATATTATTGTACTTATCCAAATAATCCCTGTTTTAAAGGCATAGATAATGAGGCCCAGAGAGGTTAAATGCTTTCTGTAAGATTGTATGCCAAAAAAAAAAAATGTGTGGCAGGGCTTAGAGAGGAACTTGATTTTAAAACTCAAAACACAGGCTTCTTCTAAGTAGATTCTGCTGCCTTACCCAGAAAGATAGGACAAGCCATTACGCGTCTGCAAGAGAGAGGAGAAATGATAAAAATCTCTCCCCTTCGTTGTTGATTCTATAAATGAATTTTAATATCCACTGATAACCAAAAATATGTATTTCTATAAGATGTTATAAACGGTATGATGTACTATATTAAAACATATAGTCTACCCAACTTTGTATCCTCACAATTCTAAGATACAATGCACTCTAAGCTGTACATTTACCCTACCAGCTCCAGCTTTTACAATATTACCATAGAAAAATTCAGATTATTCAAGAGGTTATTTATGTGCATACAAAACATGGAGCCCAACATTATCCTAACACCATAATCTGTCTTAATCCTGTATCCTCCCCTCTCAAAACAAAATATAAACCAGAAATTGAGTCTACAAAGAAAACAGGTTACATCACATCAGGAAATGTGAATTTGACTTGAATGACAGAATACAGAAATTCTTTAAATCTCAACTTAATCCCAGGCTATAAATCCGTTTTTTTTAAGGCTAACTGTAAACTGAAATGTACCATCAACAGTTTTAGGTAGAGTGAATGAAAATGGCTCTTAATGATCACAATTACTGGAACTTGGCAAAAAAAAAAAAAAGTAAGTCCTATTACATGGGGCAAACTTAAGCATTAACAATATGTTATTTAATCTTCTCAATATTTTTCAAATAATTTATCCTTTAAAAAAATTTAGCAAGGTTTCTGTTGACAAATGGTAGGCAAACCATCATAGGGAATGCAATTCTATACAGAGCTTGGAAGTTTCACTCCCTTAAAATGCTGGTACCTTCCCTCTGTGATTATCTCCAATTTATCTGATACAGTCCTTGTTCACACATAGCTATTTGTATATTGTTTCCCCCATTAGAATGTGAGCTCTGTGAGAGCTTGGACTGGTTTTTATCTTTCCTGGAATTCCCAGGGCTTAGCACATAGTAGGCATTGATAAATCCTTGTTGACTTGACCTGACTTTCAAACATTTAGTTGTATTTGTTCTTAAGCCAATTGTGCATGGTGTTTTTTAGGTGGGGTTTTAAGGGAAGAAAATAATCCAATATACATTCCTCAGTATTTGTCCGAATATGTCATCTTGAAATACAGATCACAGCCACAAAATAAGATATCTGAAATGCAAAAATATATTCATCTATACTGAAAAAATACCACCAATTATAAGCCACATTCAGTGTTATATAAGCCAGATTTAGGGAAGAGTGACCCATACTGGACTAGTACCACAGTATTCAAAAATCAATCTGTACTACTTACAGAAAAACAAAGTCTTAAAAGACAAATATAACATGAGAACTAGAAATTTGTAGTTAATTACATTTCCATGAAGTTTTGAAAAACTCATTTAATGTCTAACCAGTTCTACATAGGAAAGAATAGTCATTTAATGTTTATGCAATGCCACATTTGCAAAATCAATCACAGGATCCTATTATTTTGAGATGGAAGGGACTTTTTTTTTTTTTTTTTTGGCGAGGCAATAGGGGTTAAGTGATTTTGTCACACAGCTAGTAAGTGTCAAGTGTCTGATCGGAGACTGGATTTGAACTCAGGTCCTCCTGACTCCAGAGACAGTGCTCTATCCACTCAGCCACCTCGCAGCCCCTGAGGGAAGGGACTTTTGAGCTCATCTAGTCCAACGCCCATATTTTATAGCTGAGGAAGGTTAGGCCCAGAGGCGCAGAGGACAGCACGCACACACACACACAGAGTGAAAGGCAGTATAGAGAGTTGGATTTAGAGTCCAGAAAAACAAGTAACAAATTATCAAAGCCTCTATTTCCTCATTTGTCAAATAAGGATGATAAGAGCTGTAGAACTTAATTCACAGGGTTATTTCAAGGCTCAAATAAGATAATGTATATAAAATGCTTAGCAAACCTAAAAGTTTCAATGCTAGTTATAATTATTATTACACAAACTCTTTAACTGCAGCATTTTAGAACGTTTGATGTCAAAAATCTCTACTTTTAAAATGCCACTACTTTGCTCAACTTATTTGAATCTTTTTAAACAATAAATAAAAAACAAACAGTTATAATTCTAGGTGTCCTTGTTAAGAACTTGATAAAGCCTCCAAATTAAATAAACATATACCTTAATATTCTTGACTTAAATGCCAAAGTGGCCACAAGGAAGGATAGAGAAAAATATTTTGGAAAAAAAAAAGTCATTATAGGAATAAGAAATAAACAAAGTCAATGGCTTATATGCTAAATAGAAGGGTCATACCTATATATTACGGATACTTCTTTCTAGAAGAGAGTCAGGTACCCAATATTACGAGCGTGAAATGTCATCACAAAAAAAATTTAATTTTTTTAATATTTTACAAGAAACAACTGGTTAGCTATAAGGCAGTTATTTATGAGGCAGCTGTGTATAGTAAAGGACCAGCTTGCTAGAGCAAGAACCGAAATCAACACAAAACCACAACAAAAATGAAGAGACATGAGGCTTGAGGCAATGCCTCATTTAAAACAAGCTATTAATATCAAAAGAATAAGAAATGGATAATGTCGTAGACATTGACATACTCTATCATCATTTCCTAAGGAAATTTAAGTATATGAATAGGAAGGCATCACAATGAAAGGATTCAAAGAACCTAGAAACTGCCTCAGTCTACAAACCCTGTTCTTCTCGCTGAGCAGATGTAGATTAGCCAAGGTCAACACTAGCTTAGAATACAAGCTATTTTGTAAAATCTTATGGAATAAAACAGTAGAAAATTATGAGCAGGATCACTTAATAATAAGAAAGTAGTCAAGGAAAATTAAGAGAAAGAATGGCTTGAGACCTGAAGCCAGATCATCCCAGGGACATTCAGGCATGAAAATAAAAGGATGATTAAAACAAAAAAAAAAGACCAGAGACAGAAAGAGAGAAACATCTGGAAAATCTTCTACAGACTCTTTCCTCAATGATATTTCTATTCTAATATCATTATCTCCAATATGTTGCAGGATGAAGCAGAAATGGCTAAGTTAGGAAGAAGTCTGTGCTGAAGCTGTTAATCTTGAGGACAAGGAGGGATCATCTCTCAAGATAAGTGAAAGAGGAGACAATGTTTCACTCTTAGGGGTGGGGGGAGTAAATTCAAAGATTTTTTTAAGTTAGAAATAAGATAAAAATACCAATACCTACTTTCCCACCACGACAATTTTGTTATGGTAATAACTCACATGTGATTTGAGGGTACGTTTGATAAACATCTAAGAAGGGAGTCTAGCTTTCACAAATAACATTCACCATCGACACCTCACAAAACTGACTGAAAGGAAAAGCGACCATAAGATCCCACTAAGTGCTTGCCAACTTAAAAAAAATTGAATGGGTAGAATAAATTTTGGTCTTAAAGGTCATGCTCCAACAAGGTGTCTCTTATCCTTATGTCAAAACCATATAATATTCCTTGAAAGATGTAACAGATAACTTTGATGATCTCCTGATTAAAATAAAGCCCAGCATAAAACAGAGATGGTATGCTTGCCCAAGATGCTTCCCACTGTCAAGGGATATACTCAGCATGGAGCCCAAATCGAAGAAGAATTCCCTATGGATGATGAAGCCTTCCATTTACTCCTCTTTGTAGGTGGCATTATGCTGAGTGCACCAAGTCCCGGAAGATCCTTTTGAATGAGAAGCAAAACTAATCAAAAGAGTTTAAAGTATCCATATTTAAAAACCAAGCCCAAGAAGAATAGCTATTCTCCTGATTATACCATCCACTTGGATGCACAGATAGGGCTAATCTATCATTACAAACATGAGACAGAAACTAAGCATAAATAATGAATTGAGATAAAGAAAAAAGAAAGAGGCAAGCAAGTCACACTGCCTTTGGAAAACTGCGTAACGCAAATTTCTCCCAGAAATAACAGCCTAACTTTTTAACATCAATATTCTTCCAGTGATTATGACTCACACGGATGTGAGTCATAAGTGACATAGTCTCCACAGAATTAAAGTTGTGGGCTATCCAAAAAGAATGGTACAAGGTAGACAAGAGAAGGCTGCAATATACTAACAAGAAAGAGCTGCATAGGAGAACTGGCATAAA